TATAAATGGTAAATATGTTTTTTTCCTAAAAATGTGCCACTTACTTTTAAAGATTTCATGGCTCTGTTCCTTTCCCCAAAAGGACCTTTGTCACTATTTGCTCTGCTCTGCTCAAGATTGATTTCACTTCCAACAGTTCCTTCCCAAAGTAAAGCCTGTCCTGTTATGGAGATTGACTGGTTGCTTTTGAAAATTCATGTGGCCCAAGTTGTTCTAGACCCTTTTTGAACATCCCAGGGACCCTTTTTACTCTTAAACTCTTGGACTGGACAAAACCACTTCCATTTTCACCTTCTGCTTTTGAAATTGACCTGCCTGGTTCTAGTGAGTATCATTTGGATCCTTTGCATTTTCCTTTTGGTTTCCTCTTCCTCCCATGCAGACACTGGTACCATTTGTCCATCCCTGTTCAGGTTTTGGCATTCAAGGGGATAATCTGAACTTCACTGAAACTGTTTTCCATTTACTTTGCCCACCTAAAACTCTACCACATGGATTATATTCCTTAATTTTCAAGTAGTTAAGCTGGCTTTAGTCACATTTGAAATTATAGTTATAATTCTGATTTTAATGTGATAATAGAGTGCATAAAATCACCAGTTTAGAATTTTTAAGTAGTTTCTCCTCAATGTACATTGTCTACTTTTCTAAATGCTCTATGGATTTAAGAAAGAATTTTTTTCATATCGTATATACCCTTGATTATTTGTGCTCAGTTTTTTAACAATTCCTTTTGAACATTCAGTGTATAGTTGCTTTCCCTACTTCCTCACATTCTATATTCTTATGTTACTCTGTTTAGATTAACATGTGCACCACTTCATTGGAAGTACATTTGTTTAAGTCACGAAATTGCTGTTGTCATGTCTAGTCGTATTTCCGTCCTTATCTTACTCAACCCACAAAACCGACCACCACTTCATTCTTGCAACATTGCTTTTCCTTGACATCCTTGATGTAACACTCTCTTGGTTTCCTCCTACCTAAACGACCACTTTTTTTTAAGCTCTCATGGGGTGGCCTTGAACTTCCTTTCAGAAGTCTTAAATGAGTCATGTCCCATCCTTAGCCCAGTCTTCTCACCTCTCTCTAAATTATGTGCCATCTGCTTAGTTTTGTCTGCATGGCACTATTGTTGTGCAAGCTACTATCACCTCCTAACTAGAAAAAGCCAATATCCTTTTCTCTTACCTCCTTGGTTTCCTGTCATCTCTTCCACACCCAGCAATCAGAATGATTTTTTTCTTGAGAGTTAGATCATACCACTCCATAGCTGAAAATCTCCCTTGGGTTCCCATTGCTCTTAAAATATGGTTTCAAACTCTGTTACCAGGGCCAAAGACTTAGTGGGTTAGTGCCAGCTCGTCACTTTCAACTTATTTTCAGCCCTCTGTCCCTAGCTCATAATACTCAGCTCTTAAGACTTCTAGTTTCTTAAACATATCTTGCCCAAGCATAATAGTCCCTAAGCCTGGATACCTCTCCTATGAGATCTTTGTGTGGTTTTGCTTTTCTTCTTATTTCCAAATCAGCTCATATAACATCAGTGAGAACATCCTAACTACCTGACCTCAACTAGCCACAGATCCACTTCATCATATCACCTTGTTTTTTCCTTCAGGACACTTACCATTGTCAAGAATTATGATCCTTTTATGGGTTTACCTCGTTATTTTTTGTCTCCTGCTATTAGAATGCAAACTCCAAGAGACCAGGGACTTTGTCTTATTTACAAGGGTGTTGCTAACACCTAGAATAGAGCTTGTTTAACCGCGTTTCTTTGAATATTTCTTCATGATTTAAATGACTGAGTAAATTAATGTTTTCTCTGCTTGATCAGATAAGTTCTAAAAGAGATATACATATTAAAATTGTTTTCTATAATTATGTTATCATCTAATTATCCTTATATATACAGACATTTACTTATTTGGACTGTGTACTTATTTTGGTGTATATAGGTTTATTATTATTATGTATTCTTTGTGACATATGTTTTATTTGACTGGGTTTTGACCTTGAATTTCACTTTGCTGATAATATTATCTTTCATGCCTTTTGTTGTTGTTGTTTTTAACTGGCTATTGTATTTTTTCACACTCCTTTATATTTTGGTTATTAGTGTGTCACTGCTCTAGATGTGTTTTCTCTGAAAAAACAAAGCTAAATTATGCTTTTTAATGTACTGTGAAATCTCCATCTTTCGATGAGAATTCAGTCTGTTTACATTTAGTGCAATTACTCATATACTTTCTTATTCTTTAATGTTTATCTTGTATTATATATACGTATTATTTATTTATTTTTTCTTTCTCTTTTCCATACATTTGCTAGTCCCAAACCTTTATTGATGCTCCTTTTTCCCCTTTTCTATTTAGATAATTTCCAACACTGAGGTTACCTTCCTATTCCAATTTATCTTAATCAAAGTAATTTTATTATGATTTAAAAATAATTATCCTTTTGAAGATTATGCAGTTAGCTCTCCATTGCTGCGTCCAAAATTATCTTTCTGTTGATTTAACTTACTGTTAACAGTGTTGTTTGATAAGCTCTGTTTCTAGCACACTTTTATGGATAGTCACCTGGGGAGAAAACTCATTTGTATCTTTTCCATTTTAAAAGATGCTTTTTCTTAAATCTTTTAAGACATTTCCACCTATTACCAATCTCCTACAGTAATTATCTTTTCTCAATCTGTTTAAGTGCCTTGTAATTCTTCAAATGCTTAGAAGCTTTTTGCAAACGACTGTTACTATATTTAAGCTTTCATGTATATGCCAAAAATTCATCTTCCCAATGGACTATAATCCTTTATTTTATAAAAGAAATATTGATAGTTCTTACTTGCAAATGCCATTTAAATTCCATGCACTGAAAGCTGGAACCATTGTAAGCTCATCTTTTTTGTTTGCCTTCACTCATGGATTTTATCCTTTTCTGCTTTTTGACCATTGTCTGGAAAAAGTTTTTCATATATTTTGTATAGTTTTCTAGTCATTTATGACTAGAGAGAAATCTCATCCCTGTTAGTCCATTTTCACTGCAAGCAGAAATTGTATTACATGTGTTGGAAAGACTTTCATAAAAAATTAAAGGAAAAAGATTTCAGTACCTTAATTGTTTTGCTTCAACTATCTGGGAAAATTTACTTACGTTGACCATCTCCTTTATATATGATGTAAAACTATAACAAATATTTATTATATTATGCCTACTATATGCCAGATATTATAGCAATAATTTAATTTTTATTAATTCAGTTAATCTTTACTTTAACACTATGAGGTAGGTGTTTTTATTATTACCATTCACATGTGGGACAACTAAGACAAAAATAGGTTAAATAGTCTATCTAAAAAATATTTATACCTTGTGTGTGAAAAGCCGGATTTCAAAATCAGATATTCTTTATTCAGGTGCTGCATTATTGATTTATATACTGTATAATACTTCTTCAAGAAATCTCAGTGTGATCTCTATGTTAGCAGAAATGAGAAAAGCTTTAGCTTATTGGCTAGTTTCACTTCTCAAAATTCATTTCGTTTAACATGAAATTGTAGAATAAGGTGATACATTTTATTCTTTGAAAGGTGAGTATCAAAATAGTTGAATGTACACATGTAACTTCCCTGATTTTTTTTTTGGCTTACAAGCATTATCAACGTGATCATTATTAGATGAGACACTCATTTGCATGTTTTACTCAGGCATATTTAATATGTTGTAGGATTTTACATGAAACTCAGCATACATTCTTGAGGTAATTTTATAATAGTTTTCTTCAACTGTTATATGTTATATCCTATACAAAGGTCATCATTGGTGGTTGAATATATTAGATGTTCTAGATGAAGTCTTGATTACAGCATATATGATTTATAATATGGTGACCCAAATGTTTTGATGGTTTAAAGATAATGTATTTATAAATGCCATGAAATGCCATGAAACTTCGCCACAGGTATTCAGTAAGTTTCAGTAAGATTCAGTAAGTTTCAATTTTTGTTTTATTTTGATTTTTCAGATTGCATTCTCACAACACAATACAATCATGGATCTTGTGCAGTTTTTTGTCACCTTCTTCAGGTAACTTGCTTTTACTGACTTTGAGTTTATTAAACCTAATTTCTGATATGTGTTCTGTTAGTCTATTAGGTAATTTATCAATTCTTTAACCTTAAAATATAATATGGTGAATCTGGAATAGTTTTATATGCTTGACATATGCCACAGAGCAGAGGACACATATTTGAAATACTTTTGTAAGATTATTTTGCTGTTGTGTTATTTAATAGCTAATGGGTTCAGTGGAAATAACATGGTAACTTTGTGTTCCTGTCACATAAGTAATCAGAGCCTGCTTTAATTAATAAAATTAATAGTACATTCATCATATTGATTAGGTATACACCTCTTTGAATGAAATCAATTCAATTATTTCTTAGATAATTATCATATGTACTTAATAATGTGTGAAAATCCGTAGGGGAAGGGAAAAAGTATATATGTTTGTCCTGAAAAAGCTTATAATCTGGAAGTACTAAATATGATTTTGAATAGAATGTTATTCAAATGACATCAGTTATTTGAGATATTTAAAATAGCTTCATAAAAGGTTTCATAGTTAAACAACTTTGGAAAATACTGTATATGGTGAAGTTAAACAGGGCTCTTTTTCTTTTTTAACTGACATTGCTTGTCAGTTTTTAATTTGCTGATTTGCAATCTATCTTTCTTAAAAAGAGAGTCGAGTTTGCAGCATTTTTCAAGACATGAAAACTCTTTTTAGGGAACATCTATTTTCATTTCCATGGGATGTAAATAAAGAAACACTGGGTCAGGAGAAGAAGTGGAGTTTCAGTGATGATTTGTTATGACATAGTAGGTCATCTGGATTGGAAGGGATGTTATTCTTGTTAACAGTATTATGATTTGTACAGCTTATGCCAGTCCATTGGGTACCTTTGTGCAAATTAGACAAATGTGTCTCCTGGCAGACAGAGCGCAACATCACAGTACACAGTTTTACAAACAGTGCAGTATGAATTTTGACTTCAATACATAGCAAGTCTAATCGTTCATCTACACTTACAGCCTTTCACTTTTCTCATTTTTTCCTCCAATTTACACATTCCCTCTTTCGTTTGTCCACTTCTGTTGTCAAAACCAAGTTCACAGGGCTGCATCGTACAGTAAAAAAGCTGCACAACTCAATCCTTGACATAGATGAAATGCTAAGCACTTTCTTCAACACCAAAGTAACCATTATTAGTTATTTTTACACCTATACAATGCTTGAATTCCTAATATCTTCTCCCCAGGCCAGCCAACATTTTCTGTAACGGGCCAGACAGTAAATATTTCAGGATCTGTGGGCCATCTGGGGTCCCTGTTGCACCTATGCAGCTCTGCTGCTGGAGGGCTAAGGCAGCCACAGCCAATACGGAAACAAATGGGAGAGGCTGTGTTCCAATAAACCTTTATTATAAAAACAGCTGGTGGGCTGAGTTCTGCCTGTGGACATTTGCCCAACCCCTGATCTGGTTTATGCCTGAATGCCTTTAATGACAGGAAACACACCATTTCCTGAGATAGCATTTTCTATCTTCAGATAACTAATTGTTCTTTATAATTGAGATGAAATCTGTCTCCCTATAATATCTCTTCTAATTCATCCATATGGGCCCATACATAGCAACTCTAATCTCTTGTCTCCATTTATAGCCCCTCCATTTTCTAAACTCTGTTCTCCAGTTTACACATGTCCTGTTCTTCTATCCACTTCTGTTGTCAAAAGTTTCACCATGTTGTTTACTTTATTCTGAAAACCATCGTGTTTATCAATGTCCCTTTAAAAGTTGGAATTTCCAGAATATAATATTATAAACATATTTATCACTAGTGTAAGTGTAGTTTATTCATACTTTAAATAATGTCTCTTAAAAATGCCATTTTAGGAAACACCTTAAATATATTTAATGTTTTGTGACTTTGTACTTCTGAATATAAAGGGATCTTAAGGCTATTAATTAGGTTACAATATGTTTTTGGAACATATTACAAGTTACAATCAAATGAGCATTATTTAATGCCCAAGTAAAACTGATTTTTGATGCAAAATAGTGTGAATGGAAATTTAACAAGGATGAAAAGTTCAACTCTGGAAAAATTCACAAAGCTGAATATATATGTAAATTATTTAAATGTTTAGGATTTTATGTTAAGCCAAATTTGTGCACATATTTAAGTTCAATAACTCTTTTATTAAGTAAGAGAAAGCTAGCGTTAGTAAATGTGTACCATGTCTTAGAGATGATCCTATTTATTATGTAGTCATCATGGACAAAGTGAAATAAAATATTCAAGCTGTTGTACGGGATAAAATATATTTGATGGTTTTTTTTGTCATTTAAATTTATCTCAGTAGTAAAATGTAAATTAGATAGTTTTAAAGTTGTCTCATTGTTAAGAAAAACATGGACAGAATATTTTGAAGTTTTTAATTTTTTCCTATAATTTCCTTTTTTCCATGTTGTGTCTACTTACTGACCATTATTAATGTGCCATTCTATGATTTGTGCATTTTTCAACTTTGCCTTAATATTTTTCCATTATTATATTTTTATGTACAAGCAAGTTAGAAGCATAAAATCTTTCTCATGAACTATTGTATTTTTTTCCTTCAACTTTTTTATTGTAGTAAAATACACTTAACAAAATTTGCTCTTAACCATTTTTAAGAGAACATTTCAATGATACATTAAGCACATTCATATTATTCTTCAGCTATCACTGCTGTCGATTGCCAGAACTCTTTATCTTGCAAAACTCCATACCCATTAAATAGTAACTTCCCATCTCTCTCCCTACCCCCCTGACAACCACCATTCTGTTTTCTATCTTCATGATTTTTGACCTTTCTAGGTATCTTATATAAGTGGTATCATATAAATGTCAGAATGTCATTTCTTTTTAAGGCTGAATAACATTCTATTGTATGTGTATGCCATATTTTCTTTATCCATTCATCTGTCAATGGACATTTGAATTGCTTCATTCTTTTACCGTAATGCTTTATGAATGTGAATGTACAAATATGTATTCAAGATTTCACTTTCAATTCTTTTGGGTATATACCCAAAAGTGGAATTGCTGGGTCATATGGTAATTCTATTTTTAATTTTTTGAAGAATGTCCATACTGTTTCCCACAGCAGTTGTGATATTTTACATTATCACCAATAGTATACAAGTATTTCAAGTTTTCCAGATCTTCACCAACACCTGTAATTTTCTGTTTTGTGATAGTAGCCATCCTAATGGGTATGAGGTTTTTATCTTATTATGGTTCTGCTTTGCATTTCCGTAATGATGTTTAACATGTTTTTTCATGTGCTTATTTGCCATTTGTATATCTTCTGTATAGAAATGTCTATTCAAGTCCATATATATATATATATATATATATATATANTATATGAATTCTAGGATGAATTTTTCTATTCCTGAAAAAAATGGTAGGATTTTGATAGGGGTTACAATATATTTGTAGATTGCTTTGGATATTATTGACATCCTAACAGCTAAGTCTTCCAATCCATGAATATGAGATATCTTTCCATTTGTCTCCTTTAATTTCTTTCAGCAATGTTATGTAGCTTTTATTGTTCAAGTCTTTTACCACCTTGGTTGAGTTAATTCCCAAATATTTTATTAGTTTTCATGCCTTTATAAATGGAGTTGTTTACTATTTTCCTTTCAAATTGTTTATTGTTAGTGTATAGAAATGCAACTGCTTTTTACTTGTTAACCTCTGTATCCTGCTTCTTTGCTGAGTTTATTAGTTCGAACTTTTTATGTGTGGAAGTTTTAGAGCTTTCTGCATATAATATCATATTATGATCTGCAAACAAATGTAATTTTATTTCTTCCTTTTCAATTTGGATGCATTTTATTTCTTTTTCTTGCCTAATTGCTGTATCTAGGATTTCTACCACTATGTTGAATAATAGTGGCAAAGCAAACATCCTTGTCTTGATCCTGATTTTAGAGGAAAAACTTTCAGTCTTTCATCATTAAGTTTGATGTTAACTGTAGGTTTTTCTGTGTAGCTTTGTTTTGTGAGGTGGTTTCCTTTTATTCCTAGTTTGTTGAGTTTTTAACCTGAAAGGATGTGGAAGTCTGTCAGTTTGCTTTCCCTGTATCAATTGAGTTTATGATTTGCTGTTTTCCTTTTTTTGATTAATGTGGTATATTATATTGATTGATTTGCATGTGTTGGTCCATCCTTGCATTCCAGGAGTAAGTCTCCCAGTTGGTGATTTTGTGTAATCCTTTTAATAATAATTTAGTTTCCTTTTTGAAAATCATTGTTTATAAGAGATATTGGTCAGTTGTTTTCATTTCTTCTAGTGTCTTTGTTTGACTTTGCTATCAGGGTAATGTTGGCCTCATGGAATGAGTTATGAATTGTTTCTTCTTCAATTTTTGGAAAAGTTTGAGAAGGATTTTTGTTAGTTCTTCTTTAAATGTTTGGTAGATGCACAACTGAAGCCATCAAGGCCCTGGATTTTCATTGTCCGCAGATTTTTGATTATTGATTCAATCTCCTTTCTAGTTATAAATCTGATCTGTTTTTCTGTTTCTTCACAATTCAGTCTTGGTGTGTTTTGTGGTTCTAGGAATTTGTCCATTTCATTTAGGTTGTACAATTTGTTGGTGTACAGTTGTTCATAGTATACTCTTATAATTCTTTTTATTATTATACATTGAGTAGTAATATCCCCAATTTCATTTTTATTTTTAGTAAATTGAGTCTTCTCTTTTTTCTTAGACATTCTAGCTAAAGTTTTGTCAATTTTATTGATCTGTTCAGTTTTGTTGGTTTTCTCTGTTGTTTAAATATCTTCTACTTCAATTATCTCTGTTTTAATTTTTATTGTTTCCTTCCTTCTGCTAGTTTTGGGTTTATTATTTTTTTCTAGTTCCTTTAGTTTAAAGTTAGGTTGATAATTTGAGAACTTTTCTTGCTTTTTTTAATGTATTTTTAGCTATACATTGTTTTCCTTAGTACATCTTTCATAGCAT